GCCATCCTGGTAGGCGGTGAGCCACGCACGTTTCAGGGAGAGAAAAGTCAGCTTTCTGTGAGCCTACAGAAGTGCGGTCTGAGAATCAAAGGTTTCTGCCCCTCCTCCACCCTTGTTGGCAGCCAGATGGTTCAGAGGCCAGCCTGAGTTGACAGCAACTAAGGTACATAAAGCAACTAAATGCTTGTATTGTGTGGTTGATTATGTTGAGCTGCGGTCAGCTGTCTGAGCATCTATTGGGAAGATAACAGTATGCAATGTAGCAAATACGGGGGATTTCCTTCTGTCTTGTCTTTGAAGGCCAATATTGTTTTCACTGTTTTGCTTTGTTCTGATTGTCTTGCTTTATTCAATATCCTGTTTTGATTGATTTTTTTTTAGTGTTTTGCTTTGGTTTGATTCTGCTATACCTGATGGAATGAACAACTACTGTGCAGATAACAAGATATACTGTGGTAGCTATTAGTGTTTTTCCCGGTATCCTGCTCTGAAGTTCTGTACCAATTTTGCTACAGTGTCTGGATTGGTTTTGTTCTGTCTTGTTTTATTGTATTTTACTATCTTTAAGAAAAAGAATGAAAGGGAAAATTACATCTGTTTTGTTATAATCACAGTTCTCTCTGCTGCAGAAATCAAAAGGCACATTCTAATCGCCCATCAAAACCACTGGTAGACTTCCTATTTCTGCTTCCTCAGGGTTCTCTGGGGTTTGCACCACTAAGGTAACTTGGCACCCAGGGCTTCCGTAATGTCTTCTGTGCCTCATGAAAGCTGGCTGGTGGAAGAAGGTACAGTTCTGCCAACTTTTGCCTTTACAATCCTGGCGCCATCGGGGGGCCGTTAGACCTTGGCCTTTAGTCCTAGCCCACACTGCCTTTTCACTGCCCTGCCCTACTCTTATGGGATTCACAGAAAAAGAGGACGAAATCGCTGCCAATAGAGTTTGTCAGCCACGTCTGGCCTTTGCGGTTACCTGCTATGGTTTGGTTTCATACTGCAGGAGAGTTTACTGACACTTCAGAACTGAAAAAGACACCTGACGCCTTCAGGCACCACCCATGCTTGTAAGTATTTAATCATCGTGGTCAAGTACTCTTTCTGGCTTTTGTATACAACAAATGCTTCAAACCAAGATGTGCAGTAACACCTCACTGAAGTTATGAAAACTCAAGTCATTGGGCCACTAAGATTTTTACAAATCATAGTATCAGGACAGGACACAGAGCTGAATCTTGGAGTTTGGAATGTGAAATACTCCCCCCAGTTTGTATTACGTTGGCCATTCATTTCTAAGTTTTAAAGATCTATGGCCCTTGTTAATGAAATGGAGTATACGTCATTTGTGAAACAGGTCTTTGGTCTTCCAGACAGGGATTGTTTTCATTTGAAACAAATTTGCATCTTTTGTAAAAGTCACTCTTTGGAACACATGCAAATGGTGTTAGATTTTGTGATTATTTATTTTGCACTACTGTTTCTAGGGCTCTTTTTAAGAGATATTGTATGCTACTGCATTTTGCAGCCCAAATTATAGTAAAATGGTCTTTAGCTTTTACCAAATTCCAACACACTTATTCTTATGCCCCCTAAAAAGTGGTTCTGCTTTTGCAGATATTTGCTAGATTTTAATTAATGCATGACTTTTCACCCCATGCTCCTCCCTTCTAGCAGCAACTGTCTTGTTTGATCACAATGAGATCCTGTGCAGTGAGACATTTTTGTGTCAAAAATTCTATCGTGACATATATTAACAAATTCAGATTGCTATAAAGATACTTACATTCTCTTCAGTTAGCTATAAAATATTTTCTCTGATTATATGGTGAAAAAATAGTTGACTAGAGACCAAAAATCCATCTGTGATTCCATGATCCTGCTTGTGTAGGAAAATAATAATGAGGAAAACTGAATAAACCAGCTTAGCTTATTCAAATCCTGTGTTAGTTTATTGCATACTAAATTAGTAAAAGTGAAGGAAATGTCTCAGTAATCTAAAGACAGACTTAAAGAAATGGACAAATATGTTCTGAATTAGAACAGATATATTCAATTTTTTGAGAAAATAAGGTCATTTAAGAAATTGTGTAGTGGAGCTGGACCTCAGGGCGGGCAGTGGAGCGGAGCAGACGTGACCACATAGATGGACCTCACAGGTACGGCAGGAGATGCAGTGCCCATCCTAAACTCCAGAGAGGTGCTTTTTAAAGCAAAGCCATTAAATCCAATCCTGCCATCCACACTACCACTGACCTCACAACAGGGACTACAGCTGGGAAGATGGCAGATCAGTAAGCAGCAAGGTAAAAAGCCTCTCTGAGAGAAACAGCCCAGATGCTGGAATATCGCACTCTGGAGAAGACCAGACAGAAGGAGATGAGTCCTCTCAACCCAGGTATAAACTAAAGTGGAAAAGAGAGAAAGAAAGAAAAGAAAAGAAAAGAAAAATTTGGACAGAAGGCAGTAGCCAGACACACTCTCACCAGAGCCGTTCCCACTGCAGTGGGGGGAAAACACCCCAGGAGTCCAAAGATGCATGGTAATGGTAAAGTTGGGGATTGGCAAGCCCAGGGGCCTTGGCAGGAGAACATGGTTGTGGAGGGGAGCAGTAGGCTAGAGATCTGCACCAGCTCAGGGTGAGTGAGGGGAGCTCAGTCCTACAGTAGGAGTGGGCGATTGGCTGGGTGCCATTTTGGAGTTGGGCAGGAAAAGCCTACAACCAGAACTGCAGCCAGCTCCATTCAGCCACTACTACTGCAGAGCAGACTGGTGAGAAATTGCTCGGACTGAGTCCCGCCCCTGTGTGTGGTCCAATAGCCAAGGCCGAGATTTCCCAAAAGTGCTCCCTAACCCACCCCAGCCACGCAGCACACACTAACATAGTGAGGACTCCCAGGGACTGACCAGCTCAGAAGGGAGGGGCAGCCTGCCCCATCCCTGCGTGTACTCCAGAGGTCACCAGCAGATTGGGGACAGCAGCAATCCCTAGCCAGCATGCTTCAGAGGAATTATAACCAATACAGAAGTGGCGGGAACCCCACTATCCACTTGTCTGGAGGAAATCAGAAACATGACAGAGAAGCAAAAGACAGTCTCTGGCCTCCAACTCAAACAGTACTGGCCCAGGAAAGGTAAACACAGAAGAGACTGGGAGTTGTACACCTGCAGGTTCTGAAGAAACAGCATCTGACATAAAGAAATATCTTTGTGAAATTATAAAAGAACTTAAAACAGAAATATTAATATAAGTAAAGGGAGATATAAGAAAAATAATAAAAGAAATGCTAAATACCTCTCAAGAAGACATAAATGGAAGAATAGAGGAGCATAGAAAAAGGAGAGAAACCCTCAATAAAGAATATAAAAAAATTTAGAATACATGAAACAGATTCAAGGAGATTACCAGGAAATTAAAAACTCTATTGAAAGACAGCAAAACTGCTTGAAAGAAACTAAAGATAGACTATCCAGTCTTGAAGACAGGTTTGCAACATGTGATCACGAAAGGAGAGATCTCTTAAAAATAACAAGGACAGAAGTAATAATACAAAGATTAGAAGATGACATGATCTATAACTTAAGAATAAAAAATGTGAGTGATGAAGCAAGGTAAACACAAATGAAATACAAAGGTTATTCACAGAAATAATTAAAGAAGACTTCCCAAGGAAGGAAATGATATTCAGATATATGAGGCATACAGAACTCCAGCCAGCTATAACCAAAATAGATCTACACCCAGACATATGATAATCAAAATTCCAGAAATTCAACACAAGAACAGAATTTTAAAAGCTGTCAGAGAAAAGAAACAGATCGCCTATTCAGGAAAACCCATCAGAATCATGACAGACTTCTCAGCACAAACATCAAATCAAGAGTTTGGAGTGAAGTATTCTAAGCTCTGAAAGAAAATAACCTCCAACCCAGATTGATGTGCCCTGCAAAACTATGTCTCAAAGTGAATGGAGAAACAAGATGCTTCCATGACAAAGAGGAACTGGGCAAGTTCATGACCACCAATACAACCTTTAAAAAAAATACTGATGTCCTTCAGTATTGGTTAGAAAGTCAAAGATGAGAAAATAATGCTCTAGGTGACAGGGAACCAGAAAAAAGTGAGGGTAGCTTGCCCATCAGCTGCAGATTGGTTAGAAAGACGTAACACTTTTATACAATTGAGAACTACTCAACTATAAGGAAGGAAAACCTTGAGGCTTTTGTAGGTAAATGGATACAATTTGAGATTATGTTTAGGGATAAAAAGATTCAGAACCACCTAGATAAATTGCAGGTTGTCTCCCCATTCTAAAAACTAAAGGAGTTAGTGGGATACAAAAGGTTCAATGCACTCTGTGGAAGTGAAAGGGGAGGTATTGTCTTAAAAGGGAAGGCAGTGGGACATTGTTAATCTTTTTTTTGTCTTTTTCCTTTTTATCGGTACCAGGGATCGAACTCACAACTGCCTGCTTGCAAGGCAGGCACTTATGCTGCTGAACTAAATCCCCAGCCCAACATTGTTAATCTTATATCATGATTTGAAACCCATATTGTTTTCATTGCTATGTTTAGTTTGGTTATATTCTGTTCCAGTTTATCTACTTTACTAGATTTGATGGCACAGACAGCTATTCCAAGGATAGCAGGATATACCATGGTAACCATTTTTTATTTCCTATTAACTTAATTTGAAGCCCTGTGTTGCTTTCACTGTCTTGTATTAACTGATTTTATTTGAATCTGTTTTTGTTTGATCGCTATCTTGTCTTGACTGATTTTATTAGAATATGTTATGTTTGATAGTATCAAGTGTGAGGGTATAGGAACTAATCTGAAGACAGTAAGATTCACTATCTTAGTAAGTTTGACTATTACCTTCTTTTGAAGTCCTATAATGTCTCTAATGTTTTGTTTTTATTGATTTTGTTCTGTGCTGTTATGTTCCATTTTATTATGCCTGATGAAATAGTCAATTCTATTGAAGATAACAAGAGACATCATGGTAACCATTGTAGATCACTTTGTATTTTGGTTTTGAGTCATGTACTATGTCCATCCTTTTGTTTTGACTGACCCCATTTTGTTTTCTCTCATTTGGTTTTATTCTCTCCAAAATAAAAATTAAAAAACAAAAAAAAAATGGTGTAGCTGCTGATTTATGGCAGTCTTCCATCTTCAACTGTGCCATGTTGAAGGAGAGAGCTGAATTTTTCAGAAACAGTTCCTTTACTCTTGGAGAAGTTTAGCTAGCACTTTGGACAGCTAACAGGATGAGGTGTTTTCTCTTGTGGCGCTGAGGCTGACACCATCCTGGTTTGCCTTGTGGAAGATGGAGAAGAGAGCAAAGAGTGAAAGTGGGCTCAAGAGGCAGCAGAGCACCAGCCCCTTAATCTGGGCATGAATGAGCGCCTCGTGACGCTGGCCAATCAGGGCTGGAGACCATGCAGAGGAGGCAGGGCCCATTTGTGAACCCGGATGGAGTTTGAGTTGTGTGGCAGTGTTACAGATTGTGCACCATCCTGGATGGGCTGTTCACAGACAGCTCACTGGTCCCCGGTTTTGTTGCGATCAGGAAGCAATCTTCAGCTGATGCAGTGGTACACACCTGTAATCCCAGGCCGAGGCTGGAGGATGGAAAGCTCAGAGTGGACAACACAGTGGGACACTGTCTCTAAAGAAAAACCATGGCTTGGCGGGCACCACCTGGATTCAGTCCCCAGTACCGGAAAAATAAATAAATAACCCTTAAACTTGAACATAGTAAATTGTTCACGGCTCCAGGTTTCTAAGGCCCTAAAATCATACAATAATTTGAAACTGGTAATGGAGGCAAAAACAAGAACATGCCCCAGCACCAGCAAGATGCCATCTTCGTCTGTTTAGTTTTTACACTTGCTAGTCCTAACCTCTATTTGGGACCTGAAATAGGAAACAGCAGGTGGCAGGTGGTGAACTTCTCCGTTCGCTTTGGGGGATGCTGACACGAGATGTGGCCAAACCAACTGTGGTGTTGACAAACCATGTCATTTTAAGACTGAATCCTAGAACTGTATTGTGGTAAATTGTCTGTGGTTTGAGATTTCTGAGGACTGTAAAACCATAACGAAAGGAAAGAAAGAAAGGAAGGAAGGAAGGAAGAAGGAAGAAATGCAGGGAGGGAGGGAAGGAGGGAAGGAGGGAGGGAAAAGCAAGTGAGAATCCTCCCTTGGAGCCTTCGGGGGCGTCACAACACCCCCACCACCAACACTTTGAATTTTGGCTTCCGGCCTTCAGAACTAAGAGACTACACACGTATTGTTGCACCTGGGGAGGTAGCTCCATGGAATGGCATTTGCATAGCACACACCAATGTTTCAATTTCCAGTATCGAAAAACAAATCTATCTCCCTCGGTGGTAATTTATCAGGGTGGTCCTAAGAAACTTAGCATAGCAGTAAAGGATGCATGATTTCTTCTTGATGAGTTACAGTCTCTTCTTGGTGCTGAGAAATGAGAAGAAACAGTCAGGTGATTGCTCCAGGGTGCTGTATGGGGGCCAGGGACTTACCTGAGGGATGACTCTGAGTGTTGACTCACTGTCTCAGTCTCCAAGCTCTGGTTCAAAAACTTTCATGCCAGGCCAATTGCTGCAAAACAGCAGAAAAACAAGTCTGTGTCGTGCAAAACATTCCCTGGAATTTTCTTCCTGAGTTGAGTTCCTGGCTGTTTCCTGACTGCCTCATCACTCTTGATGGGGCTGAGCAGACACTGCCCAGTGCCTGTGTTTCTGTGTCCTTCAGAGCTCTTCCTTACACAACCACTAAAGGATAGGCTGACACTTTACAAGCCTAGATCTATCGCTTCCTAGATCTGCTCATCTACCGTGGATGAAAATGTGACCTGAAGATTAGCCCTATGGGGATATTAGCTGTAACCAGAAGAATTCACAGGAAGGACAGATTTTAAATTGCAGTTGAACAATTCAATAAAATCAATAAACTTGGGGCAGATCCCCTGCTTGTCTTCAGTCTGGGACCTTCCCAAAGGAGGCTTGGCACATCTGTCCCTAGGGACTTGACAAAGTGGGCGTCACCAGAGGCAACCATTATTTAGTGCTTCCTCGGAAATGGCCTGGTCTAGGCACTTTACGTTTTTGTTTAATTGCCACAACAATCCAAGACAGCAGATGTTGTTTTGTGGCCTCATTGTTTAAACCACAAAACTGCACAGAATTGTTCTGTAACCCACCTAAGATCACACAAGCAAGAAGTGATAGAGCCAAGACTTGAAACCCAGTAGTCTGGCTCCAGAGTACGTGACAAGTCGACTCCAGCATGCTCACCTGTGATCTCTACCTCCTCGTACTCACTGCCCTTAAGTCTGGAAGTTACCAGTGATTTGCTTCTAACCCAAAGAATGGCATATGATTGAAAAATATGGTGAATGTTTACATCTAAAAATTTATTACAGTAAGAGATGTTGTCATCCCCTTCAAAATACCTACTCCCTTGCTTCAAACATGCTTATACCATCCTTACACCATCATGTTGGAGCTTAAGTCCTAATAAAGACTTTTGTGGATGGCATGCTCTTGCCTATTCATGATTTCTGTTTCACATACGGCAGGCTGCACTGGTATACTAAGAGCTGGTAGCACATAAGTCCACTGATGCCAAAAGTGGTCAGAAGATGGGGCTAATAACACTGAAAGTGACTGGCAGCAGAGAACGATGGAGAGTAACAGAATTGCTGGGAGCTGCTGGCTTTGTGGCTGGAAGAGCCCCTGAGGACTGCCAGGGGATGCTTCCTCTAGAAACCCAAGAGCAACAAGGTGGGTCACTAGCACCCACTGGTATTCAGCGCTTAGGGCTGTTAACACTGAAAGAGCGACACTGCTTATTTGTAATTTCTATCTAAATTGAGCAAAAGAATCCCCAACAGCTTGGTAACACAGTGAGACCCTAGCTCTGAGGAACACCTTGATTATAGCCTTGTAAGAGCTAAGTGTCTCTGGATTCCTGATCCACAGAAACTATAAGTTAGTAATCATGTGTTGTTTTAGGTTGAATTTGGAACCCATGGTTATGTAGTCATAGATAGTACAACCCTGCTGGTTTTGAATCCTAGCCCAGCCACTGACTTGCTGAACATGTACCACCTCTGGGCTCCAAGTTCCTCATCAATTAATGAGAGATGGATTAGTTTCACTCATTCAGTCAGCAACTATTTACTGAACAATACACGGTGCTGGGAATAGATACTTTTCTAGTTTGCCTTTCAAATCAAAGTGGGAAAGAAGGCCCAATGCTCCCTCAGAGGTATGTTCTGTTTTTTTCAATTCTAGGTATTCTCCAGATACAACAGAGAATGAAATGGAGAATCCCCATCCCTTCAGAGTTTTACTTTAATAAAGGAAGGCAGACAATGGGACAAGATGTAAATATGTCATATGACACATTACAGTACCCACAATGAGGAAGCATAAAGCAGAAGATCATTAATTTTAAAAACGCCATGGGGCAGAAGAGGAATCAGGATGGCCTTGGGGTGGGGAGGGATTGATTTGAACAAGAAACCTAAAAGAGGTGAAGGAACATTCACAAATGTATTTAGGGAATCGTATTCTCTATAGGGGGAACAACAAATGCAAAGACCTCTTATGAGCGCTTTTCAAGGATCAAGGATTTGTAAGGGGCTGCTATGACTACAATAGAGGGCTCCAGGAGGAGACACAGAGAGTCCTCAGAGTACGCAGTCAGTAGATAATGGACTGAACTCTGGGGAAACCTAAGTCCAGAATCTAAAGCCTTAACCACTTCCTTTCACCTCTGAAAATGCCAAAGGATGGCCAGGGCCTGGTGAACAAGAGGTATGCAATGATCACATACAGGAGAGGGCGGAAAAAGGGGGTGAATACAGGAGCCGGGGACGGAGGATCTAGTCTTTCTCTGTGTATATGCACAGCTCTCCTCCCAGCATTAGTTTAAGTCTGGATTGTTGCCCCAATCTAAGGTAAAACTAACTTCAGATGTCTGCAGTGAAGCTCAAAGCCAGAAGGAATTTTTAATTTTCTTTCTTTGGGTTGTGTATTAAGCAAGAGTCTGTTATTTTTTGGTCAGATTGTCTCACATATGTCTTTATGCTTTGTTCCAAAAAAAAAACCTGGATGTCAGAAGTGACGCATTATGATATGTTTTGTGGAAGAATGTCAATATAAAGGCCTCAGCCCTTGATCATTAAAACCAGCCATTTGGATGTACAATCGTCTCCATTATATTCCTATGATTAAAAAAAAAGAATAATAACACAGAAGATATTAACAAATATTTGTAATCTGGAGAGTCAATACCATGTGCTTTTCTGGGTTCTCTGGGTTATTCCAGTACCTGACTTTCCCCAGAAAGTCCCTTCTTAAACATTTAATTGCCAGGTTTCTCTATAGTAAGTATTTGTCCTGGCCTGCGGGTAAGTAAGTCCACAGAGACCCTAGAGGGGGAGTGGGGATGAAAGGTGACAAGAGACACAAAGAGCAGAGATAAGACAAAGTCCATCAGATCAAGTCTCGTTTATTTAAGGAAGGAGTATCAAATATATAGGGTATTGAAGAGGAGGGGGTTGGGTTCTGAGAAGTCAGCAGGTAACTTAGCAACAGTGGCAAGACTGAGGGTTATAGGTAAATTCAAATTTCCCACACAAGGGCTCATAAGGCAGGCTGATTAGCATAATCCCTGAATAGGCCAAACAAGCTAGGTAGGCAAGGTACTGCTTAACTACCAAACTTAACTTCTAGAGGGAGTTAAGGTGGCGTGGCCTGCAGATATAAGGTGACAGCCAATTACAGGGCTTCCCACAAGTATTGATCTTACTGACTCTCCGAATTACAAATACTTGTTGATATCAATTGTGTTATTATTCTTTTTTATCATCATTGTAAACATGGAAAATAAATACTTTTACTTTGCTCTTATGATGTGAGTTGGGTGTTTTTGTGCTTGGAAGAAACTTCTCCATAAGTTTCACTTCATCAAGGTGGCCAGTTAGTAAGTGAAGTGACTTGGATTTGAACTGTGATCTGCTTCCCTCACAGAAATAGCATGGAGACAGACATTGTACATCCAAAAGGCTGGTTTCAATGATCAAGGGCTGGGACCTGTGTGTTGCTATGGGACTTCTGGGTGAGTTTTATATTGCCATTCATATACAAAATATACCATAATACCTCAGCTGTAGCAGCCAAATAGTATGCGTGAGCTAGGCCAAGAGATGCCAACAGGCTGAGAATGAGCCCATGACCTCTCAGGGCCTGACAAATTACAACTCAAAACTGAAGCACTGACCCCAAAACATTAGCAATGCCCCCAACCTGTGATACACAGATATCTCTCTCTCTCTCTCTCTCTCTCTCTCTCTCTCTCTCTCTCTCTGTGTGTGTGTGTGTGTGTGTGTGTGTGTGTGTGTGTCTCCATATTGCAGAGGTGACTTCAGGCCTTCTACTTAACCCAACTCCCAGCACTCATTTACTTCCTAACTTTCTCTCAGTCGCTCATCCCTGAGCCACTCCCCTCTTCATGAATTAATAAAACCAGGATTCAGCCTTGGGTGGAGGCCTTTGCTCCAGTTAGCCATTGTTCTGACAGGACTTAGGACCCCTTTGCTCCGCACAACCACAAATATGCGTTAGAGTCTTCATTCTCACCATGGGTTGCACTGGAAGTGGTAGATTGAAGTTAACTTTCTGGAATTCCAATAACTTTCCTTCAGGATTACAAATATGAGCTCCTCTAGACCAGAAAGGGATTGCAACAGACACCATCCTGGGTTTTACAGTGCACCTGGCCTTTATGATCAATCTGATAGAATAAGAGGATAGGGAAGATGCATGTCATACTTTAAATTATTCCTTGATGTCTCAAAGGATGAAACTGGTGATCATCTGTATATGAAGCATCGAGTCCTTTTTGGTTCTTTGTAGTTTCTACACAGACTACCTTTTTTGCAGCCCACAGGTTTATTCTCTTTTTCTAAGAATCGAGAGTGACATCAGCCAGGAGGCTGAAATAGAGTTGTCTATGCCTCATCCTTGCACAAGAAGGATGCACAACAAAAAGAAGCAACTGTATCCCAACTATAGTGGCTGAGGAGCTGTGTGGGGAGCAGCAGGGAAGTGGTGGGATCTGTGCAGAACACGAAGGCCTCAAATAGCATCATGGAGAGGAGAGCTAGGCAGCCCTGCCTTACTCACTTTGTCTCCCCACCATATCAGCTAAAAACAAAAGCAGACTCCCTCACAAGGAAAAGCGAAACCAGAGGCCACTTACTGGCCCATTGCCACTCACCACGCCTGCAAAGGAAACTCCTGCAGCCCTCACAGGCCCTAGGCACAGCCTGGAGATGGCAAAGTTTATGTTTCAGCATTGCCACAGGGCGGGAAGCCACGCTATGTATGCTTTACCCTGTGATCTAAGCCACTAGGGACTCAGTGCCATCTTGGAAGTAAACCCACTGGTAGACCCATCCGGGGACAGTAGCCACAGACCATCTCCATTCTCCAGGCTCGGCCATTATTCTACCACACTCACACAGTGACCATAGCCCCACAGCCCCAGCTGCTCAGAGCTCAGGCAAAGCAGAAAGATGGAGACTCCAA